CTGGCAAGAGACGACTGACAACCCGGAGCAGCCTTCGCTGCGCAAAATAGCTCCAACTGGGGCAGAAACATGCCAGCTCGCTTTGTAACCAGTGCACAACTAACTGCGGATACATCGACCGTCAACAGAATGTCGTCCAACATTGTTAATGCTGGAATATCTTCCGCAGGCCAAAACACAATGAACAATGGTAAGCTCATGGATCAGCAATGCTGGTGAGTCGACAGCTAACTGTTAATAGGGTTCGTGAACTACGCGCCTGTTAATCGCACATTCGCTGCTGAAGGTAAGCACCCCCAGCTATGGCATGAGCCCGATATTGATACGAATCAGGTCAGAGCGGCTCATATGTGGATGCCACACCCAGCCCTTTTCTATCCCATCATGGAGGAATTCCCGCTTCAGCGTTCTTCCCTCCAGACTTCGTTCGTCAAGGCCTCGTTCAGATGACGCTGAACATAATCAGTGTCGATCAAGAAGATGTTTCGATAGCTCGACCCGCGCATCAAGCCATCCATCAGAGCAGCACCGACATATACAATCAACCTGCGGCTCAAGGCTTCACAGAGCAAGACACGACAAGCTTCAACGGCAACTACTATCAAACTTTCCCGATGAATCGTTCTACGCCTCAAGACACTCTGCCGAAGAGAGTGAACAACTTTAATGATACTCAATGGCCCATTCCTGTTCCCGCACCTCGAGGCATCCTCAAGGACAACAGAACCCACTCAGATAACCCCGCTGCCGTCTCGTTTCGAAAGGGCGACCAACAGACTGCATCCTACAGTGGCACTCAATACATCAACCCTTCTCACACCATGCAATCCGGCCCAGCCTCGTATTCTAGCATGGGTCACATGACTGGAGGGAACGGTCATGAGCGAGAGAATTCCAATCCCAGGCCAAAAAAAGTGAATTTCTCGCTTGGGGGAGACACAGATCCAAGATTCGGCTACCATACACCAGCGACATCGAACGTTTCAGACTTCCGAACGAGTCAAGTGAATGGCACTGGCAATGGCAATGGCTATTCGTCAAGAACATCAGCCGAACGCATGTCTCCTCTGTCGGATTTCACTCATGCCAACACTGAGTATAACGCAAGTGCGCGGAAGACATATCAGGACTCCGCAGCTTTCCATGTACAACAAATGTGTCCCGGAAATCCTCCTGCGTTTTCTGAGCAGCTCATGGCAAAAGCCAAGGCTGCCAAAATCTCCTTAGATGTGTACAAACGCAACGGCGTAATCGATGAGTATGACTTGGAGAATGCCCTTTGTCCAGAGCTGGAAAATTGCGCCATCAGCTTGTGGGGCATAGACAGACAAGCCAGGTGTCTCGATGTTACGGGCTTGATTCACGAGGGTGATGTCTGGTCCTTACGCTCCAACCCCCAAAGCGTCTTCAACACTCCTAATTGGGAGGTGGCGTTCAAAACTAGAGCTACTGCTGAGCGATTCCTCCGAAATGCAAATCGCGGGGCGGTTTCTCTCCAAGGCAAAGCAATTCAAGTTCAATGGAGCGCCAATAAGGTTGCACCAAGGCACTCTTGGGACATAAAACATACGAGGATTCTTAATGTACTAGGCCCGATTGGCCACGAATTCTCATCTGCCAGGGCGATCGATAATTTTCTGAGGAACGAAATCCAGGATCAGGCTTTTGATTTCATTAGTACAGATGTGGTGATTTCGAATGGCCGACAGAGAGCTGTGGGATTGGAATTTTTGGAGGTCCATGGGCAATCTCGCAATGCCTTCAAGTGCATATACTACCGCATATATGAGTTGGGGCTCCAGTATCAATTCCAGGTCCGTTTTGGTCCTGACCCCTGCAACCAGATATGATGATGCCTTGAGCGTCGATCCCGGATTCGATTTTACTGTATAGCCACCATTTCCTAGGGTTCTCAAGAGGCCTTCGGAATAAGAACGTCGGAGCTGCCGTTTCCAAATGGCATGCATCCAAGTAGAAGATGACTTGAGTTCCGCATCTTCGGCTACTAAGTGCGAAGTCGCCAGAGAACAATGAGGCTGCAGGACAGCATCAATAATCGGGCACATCATGACATGGTCTTCACCAGACAATCAGAAAAGCCCTGCCTGCCAATGTCCAAATGGAAAGGCTAGTGTATTTCAAGACAAGCCGATTTGAACAACCGCGGGCCAGCCAGTGAACATCAATTGTGTTCCTCTTGCATACGGCAAAACAACAATTCTTCGGCAATGGCAATGACGCGCGAGCTTGTTGATGGTTGCCAAACAATCTCTTCTGCTTTTTCAATGGTATATCATGATCACACTAGTGAGAGATGGTAATGATGACCCAGAGCGGGCCGGGGTCGAGCGACAATGGTCGATTATATCACCATTGAAGGTTGTAATCTCCTGTTTGCTGCAACCATCGACCTTTTGAAGCTGCTCCTGGAGCGTGTCAACAACAGGAGACGACGTTAACCTTACTAGAGCGGATCTAGCGTGCGGCCCTACGTGAGAAGGGTATACGGCTCCCCAGAAGGAAAGACCCGGCCGGACCAGTGCACGCGTCGAGGGGGACTGCTAGCCGCGCACTGGATGATTGCGGTTGGAAAAAGCCATCTTTGCATATACCCTTAGCACTGCCAATGGTTCTTGTCCAGTGTGCCTGCTAACCACCATAAAGGCCCAAGAAATGGGCCAACGCCAAGGCAATTGCCAAGGAAGAGGAAGAGGATTCCGTCGCTGGATCTGGTGGCAAGGCTAAGCGCGAGCGTGAGCGCAAGCAGAAGCAGAAGCAGAAGCAAACCCTTGACATCGATCAACGCTTCGTCGAGGCACCCGAGCGTGGACGTGGCGGTTTCCATGGCGGCCGTGGTCGTGGCGATGGACCACCCCGAGGCGATCGTGCCGACAAAGCCAACTTCCAAGGAGGACGTGGCGGCGACAAGTTCGTGGTTATGGATTCGTTCGTATTTCCTGGGAGCAAGATAGTTTCGACATGGCGTGAGGGATTCCGTCTCGTGCATAGCAGTCTACAACGGCTCATACTCCTGCGAAACAACGGGCCTACATCTCGGTATCAGCAAAGAGCATATTTGATGGTCTTGGGAAAGCAAGGCTGGAAAGCAAGTTTGCAAGATAGGAGATCGAGTTCCCTTCTCTCCCTTGTATATATAATTATCACAAAAAGGAATTTAAACTTACCGTGAGCTTTGCGTTGTGACTTCAGGTTGTGCGCTGGACTCTGTCGGCTTCGTGCTTGTGTCATATATCCACTCATAGACTATCGTGATATGTCCGTCTTCTCCTGATGCTCTAATCCCTCAATGGAAAGTGCCATGTCACGGTTGATCAATGGTCTCTTTCGCCCGAGATGGTCTGTGGAGGAGGGTGCTGTTGCTGGTGCTGTCCGTAGCAAGTGCTCGATACAATCGCTCGAGCATCTTGCAATGTGAGTAGGGTATAGTAGTAAGGGAATGCATCTAGCAATCTGTTGACCGTTATGTCGAGGAGGCGGTGAAGGTGAAGGTGACGGTGACGGTAAGTTGTTCAAATCGTTCCATCTTTCGAGTGACTTTGGATGTCTCTGCCGAACTCGCACCTCGGTGCAATTGTGAAGCTATTTCTGTGGGATGGAGTACCGGGGGTCGATAGTCAGCTATAGAACACTTGAAGAAGTTAGGGGGAGTAGATTTACCTAAGTTGTAGGAGGAGGTCGTTGTTAGAACCATCGCATGGGCCGTTTCACGAGTGTCCTCGAGACAGGCTGAAGCCACTGCTCACCTTGGTATCGCTGACGACTACCACGCAACGGCTGGCATCGATTAGAAGTGTTGTATGTCATTGATGGAGGATAGACCTCTGACTGTCTCGAGGAGAGTACTCGGGAACAACGCTTGGTGTTGTCAATGGGGCTCGGGTAGTCAAGTTCGTCTTCCTTCAAGGAGCACAGGCTCAGGTAAGGACATTGACCTCAGCGACACTTTCCTGGTAATAGCTTGAACGATATTCCCGTGTCCCATCATCTGCGTATCCTCGTTTCAATGGTGACCGTGGCCTTTGTTCGCTGCTGGCCTGGTTGTTGGTCTCGATGGAGGATTAAGTATCTTCAGGGGTCGGAACGGTTGAATTCGTTCGTGGCACAAAAAGTTCGCTAACGCTACCAGCACTGGCAATCAGCACATATGGTTCACGGCTTGCGGTATTTGATGTACGAAAGAGTGCCCTGGATGATTAAAATCAACATCCAGTTGATGGTGAGGGATAAATTGGAGGAGGTTCTGCGATTGAAGATTACAGTGATGTTCCCCAGCTTTCTTTTGGCAAAGGACAAATCCCCTAGCTTCTTCTGGAGGAAAGTCTGGGCACACCACCTGTAGGTACAGTCACTCTTGCTCTATTTCAAAACAGGCGTATCCAGAAAGTGCGAAAGTTTTCTTCTAAATGCAATCGCCTTTTTGGTCTTTCACTTGCTGCACCGGGCGGGTAGATGCATCGCACAAAACAGGTACGTCCAAGCTGCTTCGCGTGTCTGGTATTACGGCAGATGAGTCAAATAAAAGCTGCTTGTTTCGAAGCAAAGACTAAATATCCAATTAGAGCATAGATCAAAGCATCAAATCAAAGCAGAGCAGGTCTATTTCGGACGTCATCATTTGGCAGATACATGCATCATAATCGCAACGAATCAGTCACGCAGTAGACTGGATCAGATCAGGCTCGCTCACTGCGCTCGCAGGAGAATGGGTTCAAGAGTCATGCATTTGTGTACTATAAGCTATCACAAAACTGCATGGATGTGATGATACAAACTCGGTATGTATGTCCCAGTGTCGTGGCCGTACCAGAATTAATACATATATGTATTAGGAGCGTCTAGCCAACGGAATACGCCGCTTAACAGTACCACATATCGAATACAGAGCAAGGCTCCTCTACTCCCGTCGAATATATCAAGTACCGAAGCAATGTCGCTCAGTAATGCTGCCCAGGCCCGTGTCAAACCATCAATATGAGAATTTATGTGGTCAGCGAAAACGTCGACACGCCAGTAAAAGTTTGCTTGTCGATCCCTACAGTGAACGGAGCGATAGGCATTTGTTTCGGGTTCGGATACCAAAATGCTGCGACGGCGATGTTGATATAAACGAGAACGCAAAGCGATCCCTCTAGGTAGTTGGATCTCTGGTCTCTCAGGAAGTTACCAACGACAAGAATAGCAAGAATCAGGACAACAATGTTGAAGAGCGAGAAACTCAAATTCATCGGAAGACCGAGTCCCCATCCAACAAGCACGGCAAGCGGGGCATTGAAGAGTGAGGTCTGAATAGTGGCACCGAGAACATGAGCAAGAGCTAGGTTCATTTGATTATCCCAAGCTTCATTAACAGCTGTGAGGTGCTCTGCGAACTTTTCAACGAGTGGGACGAGGATCAAGCCTACAAAACTGTCCGACACGTGGCATGCTCCGACGATGAAGGAGATTTGTCCAACCAAGCAAATGGCAATAATCGTGACCAGGGTGATGGAAACAGTCAGAGCGATCAAGCACTCGGTAAAGGTAAGTTTGTCCTTGTGGAGATCCGCGTGGCGGCTTGCGTGCTTATGATCATCTGCCTCGAAGATGGCGTCGTAGATACTCTGATGCGTGCGCATTTGGAAGCAGACATAGATCGCGTAGGAAATCATGAGCAAAACGGATGTAATGCGGGAGATGTGCAGGACAGCATTGTCGATTTCCTCGGCTGACGCTTCGGTTTCACTGAAAACCGCGGCGTGAAATACAGTAGGAATGATCAGTCCAAAACCACTATTTCATTAGCTGGTGGTGATTGTCTCCAATTGGAAGAACTTACGCTGTCAGGAGCAAGTCACGTCCAACCTCACCGACTGTCTCAGAGAACTCCTGTTCTTCGTAACGGCTGCCACCAACAGCAAAGCACATGCCAAGACAGAGTAATTGAGTGGCCAGGATAGAGCCAAGAACCGCGTCTTGAATGATACGGTAGTGCTCAGCCTTGACAAGGACCATAAACATGATAACCTCGACGACGGATCCAAGGGTGGTTTCCAACAAGACACCGAAGACTTTGTGGAGCTTTCTAGCCAGCTCTTGTCCGGCAAAGCCACTTAAGTTGGCACATGGAACCATAGCAAGGTAGTTGAGGGTGAAGATAGCTATATGAAGGTCAGGCCGAGCCCATGTCACAGCAATGGCTACTGGCACAACAGGCCAGAGTATGTTGCAGAGGCGTGAGGCTCCACTGGCCGAACGCCAGCAGATCTTCAAGAACTTGTATGGGTGTATTCCGCTCCTGCCACTCTCTCCTTCCGGCTGTATTCCAGTGGTGAGTCTGTGTCCACAGTGGTTGAGTCTACGTACGGAAACATCGTTAGAATGGTCATTGGACACGTCCAGAAAATGCGAGTTCTTTAGCTTGGAGCGTCTCATGTCGACGTCTGCTGTTGCGGGAGGCACTTATCATGACCGATTTTTCGTTTGTGGAGGTTGACCATCTTTAGGATAGCTGCCATCTCGTAAATAAGGATGTTGTATTTCGTTCCTGCCGTTGGGGGTGATCGCAACTGCCGTTCCTGTGGTTTTCTGGGCTCTTCAGTATTCAGATGACAGCCTCTCCAAGCAGGGAAAGAACGGTTCACGCTCAACACGTATTTCACTCTTAATGATGACAGCAAATTGTAAATAGGAAAGAAGACATATGGAGAGGCTACTCCCAACGCAGCAGTAACGGGGTCATCGTCAGAACACACAGCATGCAAAACCTGCAAAGGGAACTGTGCTAACACTGGCATCATTCAGGTAAGAAGAAGCAATTTAACGGGCGAATGTAATCACAAGGATCTCTCACAGGGTTCGATTTGAGCGACATGGTGGAGGTTTCCAAATATTCGGATGGTATTTAACAGAGGTGATGTTGAGAAGTGAAATCGCGGAGAAAAGTCCCCCGCTCTTGGCGCCCCACACCACTCACCTCGCTCGAGCCTCGTTTTCGGACGACTTCGCTCAACTTAGTCTTCTTCTACACCCTCCTCCTATTGTAAGTACAAATATGCCAAAGTACGGTCGTATTCTTGGAAAGCTTCGAGGCGTTACTCAATCCAAAGTGCTCATTTCGTAAGGGACAGTGTTCCCATTTTCAAAATTGGTAACTCCGGCGGCCGCTGAATCCTTCACATGCGCCATGTTCTGGCTAAGCAGCAGCCACCACCAGAAAGCCCTCCTCGATTAATAATACGCGTCTCCTACTGCGTTAAGCTTTGCAATTTCGTTGTTGCTTCTTGTGTCAGACATTTTTGTCGACCTCTACCCAGCACTCACTCAGTTCTGCGGCACCTTCACAGAGAACACAATATGCAACAGTAAATGTTCTAGATGATGGTTGATATTTGAGTCAATCTCCGGTTTCTAACCCTATTAAGAGGCTATGTACCTGCTCTTAACCTAGTGCTCCCCTCAAATAGCCAAATTCGCACAGCTAAAAGCATGTCTCGTCCCCCCCGAATAATCAGCAATAATTGCCTCAACCGCCGCATACAACCCCGGACCAAGCAAGAACAATCCAACAGCCATAACAATGATATGAATAACAGTCATAATGGACCTGCCGACACCGTTGAACAACTTCCCCTTGTACAACTGCCAGTACGCAACAGCAAAATAGATGAAACCGAAGAACGAATCAAAAGTGGCGCCAAGCAGCGACAGGAAATCCCCCATGCTAGGCACGACTTCAGAGAAGATGAAGGCGATGACCCAGATTACCGCGATAACCGCAACCCAGACACCCCAACCAATAACCGTGTTGCTATGCGCGTGTCGAGACTTGCCCAAGATGCGGAAGTAGATGAACTTCGCACTGACGTTCGCGTAGATGACGCCGATTACAAGAGTAGGGACAATGACGAAGGCGAAAGACGCCTTCTTGTACGCAATCACGCCCAAGCTTCCGAACGCAGGAGCAGTGGAATACTGGCCGAGGTAGCGGAATCCGACCGCAGGGGGGACGATGAATAGGAATGCCGATATGGCTGTGAGCACGGCGAGAGACTTGGGGAAGTCTTGTGGTTTCTCCATCTCCGAGATAAAGGTCGGGAAGAGGATTTGAGGGACCCATAGGAAGGTGATGTTCAAGACGGCGTTCAGGCAGTTCACCCAAGTTGTTCCCGGCAGAGGGAAAGCGTATGTTCGGACCGGGCCGTCGGTGGGGAAGTCACCAAAATATCCATATAAAGGAGCATCCTCGATTCCGGCGAAGATCATGAACAGCAGGATGGCGACGGCCATGCAAGCAGCTGAGAACATGGACATGAAAGAAATATGGTTCAGTGTCCTTGGGACAGACATTACGATGCCCATTATCATGGCAATGACTGAGAAGATGACAGTGCAGAGGGAATGGTCTGATAGGGTGTTGAGAATCCTGGCGCCTGTGAGGACGTGGAAGCCGATCAAAAGGATATTGTTGGCCAGGAGCATGAAGCCGGAAAACTCATAGGCCAGTCGATTCTTTCCAAAAATGTAGTATCCGAAATCACCTATTCGACTTGATCAGCTGCGGGCTTTCCAAATTGAAACAGGACTCTTACAGATATCCTTGATCTGAGGGTGCTTCATAATATATTGGTGCATGGTTATCGAGGTGATCCAGAACAAGATGCCTGCCCCAACCATGGTAAGAAGACCCGGAACCCATCCCAAGACGCTGAGAATTGGCCATTAGCATGGTGGTGCGTTTTCCAACAAGTGCAAACTTACGACAGCGACCACGTCTGGGCCATAATGGCTAAACAGACTTGATCTCCGCACAGCAGCCATGCGGCTTTCTGCCACGACATAGTCCTGAGCTTGATATCATGTTGGTGATCTACGAGAGCACGTGAATAACATGTTCGGCCAGTACAATGGATCAGGAAGGAGTCCTACCTTCATTGACCAGTGCCGTGAAGAGAGAGACGTCGTGGTCAGACTCTAGCGCACCGGCCGTGTTATAACCAGTCGAGGGTTCTTTCTTCTCATTCGAATCCTTGGAAAACGACATGGTGATGGTGGTATTTCTGTAACACAGGCGTATGTATATATAT